CAGGAATGTGTCCATATTGGATAATCAAGACTACTGACATTACGTTCATTTTTCCTTTGGAGCATTACATGAAGCCTTTCAAAGGGACCACAGGTTAAAAACTGCTGCTTAGGAGGCAATCTGTGACAGCCTCCTGCCTGTGCCCAGACCGCAGAGATTGGTACTGAAATCACAGCTGTAAAACATCAGTAAAAGAAACTAATGTTTTTAAGGGTTGTTAATGCCCAGTGTTTTGATCAAGATGTAGTAGTCACATAAGCAAGTTTTCATTTAATAAAAATGTTCCCTTGAGGAAGATAATAGAGAGTTAGGAACACCAGCTGATTAACAGCGACCTTCTGAGTTTGCTGAATGACATGACCTACACTTGCTGTTTCTGTTTGCCCCCAAGCCCTGCATGTGAGTAATGTTAAGTACTGACTTCTGTCAACACCACTGCTACAGTACAAGAAGTTAGGGGCAATTTTCTTCTTTGCCTGCTCAGGGAAGCCATCACTTTGATTATTGCTAGAGCTGTAACTTTAGTTAACCGTGTGTAAAAACAGTTCTCACTTCAGATAAGGCATTTTCCCTTGAAAAAAAAAACACAAAAAACCACCCAACAGAAAATGCAAGACATCTCAGAAATCTGGATGCACAAGGAGCCCTGGGTTTTAAGTGACCACTGCTCTGAAAACCACCCAACAGAAAATTCAAGACATCTCAGAAATCTGGATGCACAAGGAGCCCTGGGTTTTAAGTGACCACTGCTCTGGAAAGCAAGTACATATGGGATGGGAGGTGGCAGTTGTGGAGGAGAAAGGAAGGATAGAGAAACCAACACAAGTGGCAACATGCAGCACATTCTGAGCAGGCTGGGGATACTGGGAGACCCCAGGCACTGAGCTCTTCACAGAGGGCTGTTTGCAAACCTCCCAATACCTCACTGTACACCTCTTCCTGCACTCCGGAGTTCCTGTAAAAAAACTGACTTATGTCAAAGTTCTGTAATTCCATTACTAATTTTTCCTCATTAGTTAAATAATCTATAGTACACTGAATTTTGAGTAGCCAAGCATCTCAAGAACACAGATAAGAACAGGAAACTCCAGTACAAACTAAACAAAAAAATTGTCTGGCAAAGAGAGAGGTATATGTATGTATTTACTATATATGCATATGGATATGCAGCAATAACAATCACATGTTAAAAAGGAATTACCTTTTCTCAGATATTTCTAGAGCAGCCTAGAGCCCTATCTGCATTAGGGAAACGTGTACCAGTACACAAAATGGATGCAATGACACCGATGAAACTATAAAACACCAGTAGGATGGCCTATTATGTCGTGTTAAAATAAATGTGTTTTATAAATCCCAAATAGGAGTCTTCTGCTTTATATCAGCATATACATGAATGTGAATGTTAAACGTCAACAGTTCTTCGTAAATGAACCTCCTGTAATAAAAGTAGGCAGACAGTGGACTAAGCATGCATAAAGGCATGCAAAAAATGTGGCACACTTTATTCCCCACTTCCTAGGAAATTAGGTTCCTGATTTCCTCAGACTCCAGGCATTCATTAATCTGTGGTTTTACAACAGTTCAGGCACAAAAATCTATGGTGCTCATATGTCCGTGGTCATCAACTACAAATGATCTAACATTACTGCACTCCTTGCTTTTTCTTCTGTCTGATCCAACATTCTGTTCTCAGTGTTCTGCCCTGGAAAAGAGTCTGGACATCAGCACAATTCTTCCACTCTGCTGCAGTGTGTCCATAATTCCTGAGGGCATCACAAGGGACTCCACACTGGCAAGTTGGGTGCCCACTGCCAACTCTACAAGCCCACACTCATGTCACACTCTGAAAGTTATTTATTTAATGCAGTAATACTGCCAGCAGACATTTTCCCAAGTTTTATGTTATTTATTTTTCTGGTGGAAAAGTTAGGTGGGTTGTTTTGGTTTTCACATTTTCCTACAACATTATTCCCTGCTGATTGGCCTCCTTGTAATCACACCACAAACTAATTGTTCAGGATTCCCTCCATCCCCAGTCTCATGTATTCTCCACGTGGGCAAAAGAAAACTACGTTGACACGTTTTGAGCCAGGCTGATACAGAATAAAAAAACCCTACCAGTATCCTAAACAGCTAGTGGCATTCCCAAGGTTGCTGCGACTAGCTCAAAACCACCTAATGGCTCAGGTCGCGAAGAAGGGCGAGGCATAGCCGCTGTCGGCATGTGGCACACCGCAGTGGCTCCACCACGCCGACCCTCGGCGGCTTTTCGGGCCGCTGCCCCCAGGCCAAGCGTCTGGGAAGCCCCCGCAGCTCTGCCGGGCCACGG